AAATGATTAGTTGCTCAGGTCCTTTTAGTGTCATTTAGGTTCATGGAAAGGCAGTTTCCGTGCCATTCTGTGAATGCATGAAGGCCAGAGATTAAGAGGTCTGTAGGGAATTTCCGAAAGTCTGTTCTTTGTCGTGAGGTGGGGGGAAAAGTCAATCCTAAGAGCTTGTGATCACTATCACATGTTTCCATGTGACGGTCACGCTGTGCATCTCTTTTGACCATTATTCTTGATAACTTGCCCCAAAATTGACAATCTCCTTCCTGAGTTGTTATGATCAGTGTGTTCCTTTTGTGTTAATGTTGAAAGCTGTTCTGTGAACGAGTTTGTTAGGCTTGCTTCAGACTGGCTAGAGTCTGATTTATGACATCCTGTTGTCTTGGGCCTCTTGTGGAATTTTTGTGCTCCTAATGTTTCAAACATGTTTTGACCAAATCTTAGATTGTCTGATATCCTACGTCTGAAATAAATTTTTATTTAGGCATTGTGGCTGCCGCTTCTTCGTCCGGTTTATGTTTGTTTGGTTGTTTGTTTTAAATTGTTTTACATTTTACTATTTTACACATTGTTTTGTATCATTGTGTCTGACACTTGCCACCCTGCGAATTTGGATTTTACCGTGTGGATTTACGTGGTGCTTGCCATCGTTCACGACTGCTACGTTGGTGCTCTCGGTTCCGTGAGTCTGACCGGAGCTTGACATTGCTTCGTGTCTTGGATCTTGTACTCCTCCTTCTACGGTGCTGAGTTTCGACGTACTTGGATATTACTTCGTGTAACCTACTGGATCTATTTCTCCTATCATGCGCATCTGCTTGATAACTATTGTCATCTTCATTTTAACTCTGACTGGAGTGTGTGGTGAGCGGATCCTTCAGCACTTGGATCTTGACATGATAAGGTACTCTGTTTCTGAACTCCTTTCATTGAAACATGAATTGCCTCCTGAAACTTGTGTTCAAAGAACTTTACGGTCGCTTCAGCTTCTGCGTCGACCGAAGTATTGTCACAGAGGGTCACGGGGAGGTTCTTCCACCAAGTATTCCTATGGTTCTGTTCTCTAGTTTTGCAGCAATTACCACTGATGACATCTCAAAGCTAGTGTTGACAATGAATTCAACCACTTGTATTCTTGACCCTGTTCCAAGGGGTGTCTGTCGACAATCAGTCCCCTCATATTAAATATTGTTAACATTTCTCTTATTACTGGGATTGTTCCGTGTGAACTTAAGGTTGCAGCTATCACACCAGTCCCTAAAAAGCCTGGATGTGATACCTCTGATCTAACAAATTATAGGCCCATTTCAAATCTTCCTTTCCTGGCTAAAGTCCTGGAACGTGTTGTTTTGGCAAAATTACATTCTCATTTGTCATTAAACAACCTTTTAGAGCCTTTCCAATCTGGGTTTAGGACGGGGCACAGTACTGAGACCGCCTTGGTTCGCGTTATGAACGACCTCCTGGTCTCAGCTGACTACCATTTTGGTTTTGTTTGACCTGAGTGCAGCATTTGACACAGTATGTCA